GGTAGGGCCGCCCCCGGATGGAGGCTGGGCCCTGACATAAACTCACAACAACAAGAAAGTCGTTTCATCGTCAACAACTCTGTCGTCGAGATCTGGGTGCATATGTTCCAGGAGAAACTCTAAGTGGGCTTTGCCTACAAACTACTATTATAGCCTCCTGCAATGAGTGTGCCCCCATTTGCATACATCTTTCATATGTAGAACATTAAATTTTTATTTCTTTAAAATGCTTGCTTTCCCGTTGTGTATATATGCTTGTACCCTGTCTGCGATTTAATATCGCAAGGGAGGAGGATGTGAGGCCCCAGCCCATGTCTATATTCCGCCCACAACATCAGTTGATGTTGTGTTGTCTAATAATTATGTCGCAATGCTAATTTAGCGTCGCGGAAGCTTCTCTATTTATTTGTGCTGAGAATGCATTAGATTGTATATAAACCCTTGGGGTAGCTGTAAAAGGCAGATCAGCCTTTACTTCTACCCCATTAATATACAGCAAATCAAAGCGTATACTTAGACAGACAACTGAGGCCTGAGGCGAACGGGGGAATGGAACGTTACCGTCCCCAAACTAGTAAGATAAACCTTTCAGCATGCCTGCTTCACACCCTGGGAGGGTCCCTCTGCCAGGCACTACACCCGGACCCCCTCTACCCTGGATGCGTCCCTGACAGATGGCCTTTTCTCTCTTTTGTTTGCTTGCAGACTATTGTTCTCCCTTTGCCACTCCTTGTTTCTTTATTTCCTTTTGTTGGCAAGGTTTGCCGATATTAACCATTTGTCTATTTCTTCATTCATTGATATCATGCTTGATCTGCCACTCCTTCTGGGCTGGTCCTATTTAGTTAGTTGTGCTTATGACATGTGTAGGTTACACCGGATGCACCTCAGTTCGTATATCGACTTGGATTTACCCCCTAGCCTCTTCCCTCTGTCATAAGGCTTCTGTCTGAAATTGGGACACCAACATAAGAATGAAGTGCAGTGCTCCACCTGAGTCGCTGAAGCTGAAGTCCCACCCCTCCAACCTTATGAGCCCAGACGACTTTGCACATCCTTGCAGACCATCCAGATACACGTTCTAGACATTCCTGACAGTTGGCATGGATGATTGTAAGGTCAGTGTAGGTGCCAACCTTGGTGCCTCTTCAGTCCTCAGGTCAGTCAAGATCTAGGTTAGACAGAACTTAGTATTCGATGTTGGTGAGGAGAAGAGTAAAGAACCCTTTGCCCAACTCCGCACCATACATATGTAAATACACAGGTACAACAAGGAATAACAAAGAATAAACATAACCACCATCCCTTCCTTACAATGATGTATATTGACAGCTTGCTATGTGCCCTTGAATTCCGGAAATTTTGATGTGTGGAACACCTCAAACTTGAACTTGTTGCATTGAACAGGAATGTGCATTGACTGGGTTAGGATGGTATAGAGGATCCTCTGGATTGTTTATGGCCTCCATGAATTTTGAGAATTCATTTTGAGAAGCAATGGTGCAATGGTGGGAAATGTTATGAAAGCACCACCTTTGCTTTTCGTTGAGAAAATCTCAATGTTTAGTCTAGAGGGAGAGACATCAATAGTGAGAGGAGCTGGAACCGATCAGAGATGTCCAGATACTTCACATTGCACCAAACCGACTCTGAATGATTTTTCGTAGAGACGCAGGGTCTGCCAGCCTCTCTGTGTCGCAGACAGGGCCCCACCTGTGCAGTAGGAGAAATATGTGCTTAATAAGTGCACGTCGACACCCCCACGTCTAATAGTGTCAGTAATGCCACATTTTCAATGCAGCAGGAAAGCAAGAATTTTACAAAGACTCACAAGGTCATCTGGCGTGATGTTGGAAAGTGTCGTTGTAGTCATTTCATGCAGACAGAATGGATAGTGTCCCCTAAATAGAAAACAACCAAATTTTGACTGGCCCGAACTCACTTCTATCGAGACGAGACGATCCTTCAGTGAGACCCAAATTCAACGAAGGACATATCCCAGCACATGTATCCTTGCGTGGGGACTTCCTTCTATACGTACTTCGGTATTCCACTGACCGCTTCAGCAGTTGACAACCCCGCAGCTCCGAGGGAAGGTAGAGGGTTGAATAAAGTGATTCATTTCGACCGGGCTTGCGAAATTGCTGGAGGTGAGATGATGGCGGATCCGATCGATTCACTGATAGTCAGAAAAAGTTATTACAGTAATGTGGTGGATGGAATGGTATACGCGCTTGATTATAGAATTGCACCCCAACACTCTGTTGATGTCCAGGATGCTGCAAAAAGTAAAGGAATATGTCACGAATATATACACAAAAGCCGTCAATATTGGAGACAATTGCAAGTAGTAAAGATTGATTAAACGACCGTCTCGCCATCATCCGACTCTTGGCGTTTTCGCTTGCCGAGAGACTCCTGCCGAACACCAGCAGCGATGAGCCGCTCTGGCACAGTGGAGAATTGCGCTGTCAAAGCTTCGACCTTCTGCTTAACTTGGCGGAGTTCTTCGATTAGCTCGGCAACATTCTTCTTGACCGGCCCAGGCTCTGTTTGGATACAAACATCCTCTGTGAATCGTGCGACCATACCCGTTCGAACAGATGCATGGGAAGCAGATGCTTTCACCTGGACTGCGGCGGAGGTGGAGGCACTGTCCTCTGGCGCAGCAGAAGATATTCCGGCTTGGGCAGGATGCGGTTCATGATGGTAAGCCGTGACGGTTGACATCTCTACCAATGACCGTGTACCAATAGTTAACTTCGCAGAGGTGGATGTCGGTGAATTGACCGATTTATCGTTAATTGTGGACCAATGTTTGGGAGCCCTGTATTGAGCTGCAGAAGATGCTGAGCTTTTCGAGGGTCCTGGTATGACAGAAAGAATTAGTACGACCAGAAGGCAAAGGGAGACTGCCCACTCGAACCGAACTGTAGGAAACCATAGGAGGCTAGAATTTTCTCGAGAGATAGAGGGATATGATACAAGGGTAGAAAACTGGGTGCATATGCTTTTTCGTCCTTTGTCGCGCCCTGAATGGGATATAGAGGATCCAAAGGATCCTTTATGGACATGGCGAATTCTACGAATTCATTTCGAGAAGCGGGAGTGGGGAATGTGATGAAAATGCCAGTTCTCCTTCTTGCTGAGAATATTTCAACATTTAATCTAGCGGGAGAGAAGATCAACGGTGAGAGAAGCTGGTTCGGTCCGAACACCTTACACTTCACCGAAGCGAGTCTCAATGAGCTTTTGCAGAAACACGGGGTCTGCGATCCCATCTATGTCACAGAAAGGGCCCTTTAGCAGCAGAAGAATATGCTTAGCAATTGCCTGTCGAGAACTCCTCGTCTGATGATGCCAGATTTCAGCTTTCAAATACAGCGGCAGACTAAGAAAGACTGACAAGATCACCCGCCGTGAGGGCAGAAAGTGCCGTTGTAGGCATTTCACAGCAACCACTGGCAGGATGGACAGTACGTGGATGAAGTCTACTAAGTAAACGCCAACTCAGAAATTGTTTTCGCAATTCAGAGTCAAACTTGCCTCACAAACTATATATAGTTAGACCAAACTCAACGAAAATTGAACACTGGATATTCAATCACGGGCATTGCCTGATCAGTCATTGGCAAATGACTCAATATGGGAGGGATGCTGCCTTGGTCCATGTCTAATGATGTGAGTCGGAAGCACGGGAAATGTTGCACTCTTAGCCTTGTGGGTACACCGAACTCTCCCAGAGCCCCATGCTGTTGAAGATAGCCAGTGATCCACTGAGCACGATATATCGATGCGCTGTCTCTCTTACTAGCGAGCTCTCCTTAAGTATGTCTAGCATGAGGCAAACGAGAAACAAAGTGCCATGCGCGCACTACACGCAAGAAACTCGACAACAGTGTCATATCACAATTAAGCGTGAAAAGATTAAACCAGTCAGCCCCACTACAACGGTAATGTCGCGGCTGCGGCGTACGTTGGACTGCTGTTCTAACACATATACCCATGATAAAATATCTCGTCTCTGGTGTCTGATGTGATGACCCTCTTTGGACTTGGAGGCCGAAGGAATCGAGGTGAAAGCTTAATTATATAAGCTCAGGTCCCGACATCGGCTAAGCTGCGTAATGAATTACCAAGAATCCCGTGGATTTAGCCTCACGAAACCCTCTCTCTAGCTTTGTTCAATTTCGCTCCTCGACAGGCAATGCTGACAACAGCGTCACGGTTTCGGGCAGACGACTCGGAAGGCATACTCTGGAACGTCCACACCTGAGTTGGGATTTTGCATTGTGCTTAGGGTGTCGGCATGGGGTGGAACATCATCACCCAGCACATTGTAAGTTGGCGATCAACATGTAGCTGCGCCCGAGACAGGGCAGTTTCCCACTATGGAACACGGAGATAGATCGATACAGGGGGGCTCCTTTCAAACGATAGACCAAATGGAATTATTTAAACTGGGGCCAAGTGCCAAGTTGGCAACAAGGTCGAATACCAGGCTGTTGTAAGTCTTAACGGCCAGCACGCACACATACGCCTCCTTAACGCGACTGTGGGCTCATATGGATGCCGTAGAGAGGCGGAAACGTCGAGAACTCTACCACCACCGGCAAGATTGTCGATGTCGTGACCGAGACCATGGTTAAAATACACTATCACTCCATTCGCACTTAAGAATGTTGGTCCCACCGGTAATGAAGTGAGCGCCTCAAGCAACGACCCCCAGGTACGTCATCAAGAATGATAATACTGGTAAGGAAACCGCCTAGCCTGCGAGGTACGTGCATGCAGCCCAATGTTCCATTTCACTTTGAAGACTGCACTCACCGTTTGACCCTGTCTAGGCGAAGAACATCGTCAAGAAGTTGCAGTTACGCTTTTTTTTCCCCTGATAAGCGATGCATCTCAGCGCAGTATCCCGCATGCATGTACCCGCACGAGGTCCGACACTGAAAGAATGATTTGAACATGAAGCGGAAATTCTCACGGTTGTGGCACCAAAAGCGGTCATTTCGATTTGCGCAAACCGCACGGGAACGTTTTCGCTATGACTTCATATTGGTTCTACCCTGTGGCTCTGTTAATTTCAGTTCTTCTTCACGCTATTCACAAATCAAAGAGAAATTCCAAACCACCGAGATGGAGGAACGTCCCACCAGCGACAGAACGCGTTCTCGTCATCGGCGCTTCATCAGGTGTGGGGAGAGAGATCGCCCTTCGGTATTCCCGCCGAGGAGCCGGTGGAATTGCCATTGTTGGGAGAAGAAAGGAAGAATTGGGAGCTGTGAAGAGGGAGTGTGAACTGGTGGGTCAAGTCGTGAACCCCACACCCCGCAATGATTGGATTGCGCATCGTTTGGCGCTGGCTGAGACCCGTTGAATGATATGTCTGCTTTGGGTATTTCAGCTGACGAAATCTCCGGTGTTGGCGATTGCTGCGGATTGTTCGGTCATTGAGGACGTGTCAAGTCTGGCCCGCCAGATCGAGAAAGGTAAGTGTGAATGGGACTTTCGACCTGTATTGCAATATTTACTATTTCATCTTCGTGATCATGTCCTTTAAATTGTTGGAATCTATCAAAGCATGGGGATGGTTTGATACGTTGATTATATGTGCAGGCGTTTCAAGCGTGCGGCCAGTTATGGACATTGCTGGGTATCGACACTCGACTCATGACGAGAGGTACGGGACTGGCTTTGATTCACGATTAGCCCAACTAGTTAATATTTTTGTTGCGCAGTGGGACGTATGATACAAGCGATGGGGTTCAGAAGGTAAATGACGTGATTGAGCGTTCGTTAAAAGGGAATTTTCTTGGGCCTGTTCTTTCGGCTGTTGCTCTCGTGCGTACTGAGACTTTCTCTTTATAACAAACATTACTTGACCACTCCTCCCTGATAGATCCCCCTCCTCCTACGGAAACCAACCCTGTCCGGATCCCCTTCCCCTTCCCCTTCGATCCTCCTCCTTTCCTCCATCGCAGGCGCCATACCAGCACCCACCCGATCCATCTACGCATCCACCAAATCGGCCTCACTCGTCTTTTTCCAATCTTTATCCATAGAATGGAGTTCAAAACTCGATTTCTCGATCATCTTACCCGGGAGCATCGAAGGTGATGACTTTCGTAAAAAGGCAGTAGACCTGGATCTCAATCCTGCGCCTGAGTCTTCAACGTCAATGTCGACGTCGATGGGGACGACGAGTCCTCGAGAGCTTGAAGGTCCAGAAGAAACAGTAAGGACGCCTGAAGGGAGAGGAAACGAGACGGGTGTGTCGACCCAATTGAGAAGGGAAGGTAAAAAGTTGAGACGGGAAGATGTCGCGAGAGCCTGTATAGATGTGATTGATTGGAAGAGGAAGGGAACAATTACGAACATCGTTTGGTTGCCTTCTTGGCCCTATCGATATGCTCATCTTGTGTATTGGTGGGCCTTTAGAGGGTTTGTGGAGCGTGGGGCAAAGAAGAAGTATGGGTTCGTCCATTGAGGTGTTGGGTAGGGGGGTGTTGGAATCGAGATTAGACTGTATTGGGTGTACTAGACTTCGGACTTTAAAAACGATTGCATAGAGGCCGAACCGGCACATATCACAAATGTTACAGAGTAAGGCACTCCCTGAGTGCCTTGGAGCCACTGACTAGTATGGATTGGGTACGCGCGCAAGGATCATGGACTCTCAACAATGTGCGTGCGGCGTCAGTCGATTAGCCAACTTCAAACAGTACTCTAGGAACAAATACGTCGCAGGATGTCGATGTCGGATTCCGCATTGGCCATTCAGTTCATAGCCATACGCTACAGTCACTTCTCAAACCAATCTCTTCCCAGCAGAACGTTAATGCAGGTATGATGGGACCGATGATACAGCGGCAAGCATCACCCACTCCGTTTTGTGTGTTGTTAGAGTAAACATCAAAACATGTCGTGATTCGCGAAGGGAGTGACACCCGTGCGTGCCAGTGCAATTGGTAACGTACTCAAAAGCGTGGACTCATTGAGTAAAATATCGGGCACACCGGTATGTACACAGAGTGTGTCTGTGAAGACGAAGGGTTGCGGGGCTGTCAGGTAGCATGCAAGCAGGCATCTGAAATCATGCCGTGGGACGATATTTGAGTCGGAGGATGGTTTGGCTGGGTTCGGGCCAAAAGGTTATAGAAACGGGGATACCATTAAACACATTGGATCTCAACCGACTCAATCGGGCTCGGAGGTTTCCTGGTGCCCCTGTAGGTGTTCACTGAGAGTGTCCAAGAGTTGAAGTACGCATACCGCGCAGGTTTACGCACTCTAGTACTGACATTGATCATATATCTGCTAGAATCCTGAAAGGGAGAACACAAAACACCATTTCCAATTAATTGTGTCACCGATTTACTTAGGCGGACAAGGGTGACCGAAATTCAAAATAATTCGTACCTCGCCACGACTATGTGTACTGGTATACTTGATTATCCAAATGTCGAGGCTGCGAATAGCGATTGCCTTTTGTTGGGTATTACGTTCAACCGGGGGAGATATGGGTGTGGAATTACTTTTGGCCTTGTTCTCTTCTGGCGCGTAAGCTTGACGTGCCGGTGGCGCACTGACTTTGTGATCGAACCCTAAGATCACAGTAAGATGTAGCCAAACATCTTGAAGTCGTTTGCCGGTGATACCACACCCCGAGCAATATGGTCAGGACGAAAACAGTGTCGCTGTCGCTTTGCACCGCATACGATTGTCAAGTGCTTACCTCCCACGGGTATCCCATTGGCACCACCCGGTCATTCCCTCGAGAAATATACCACGTCACAGTGTTCACCTTTTCACGAACACCCTCCCATGAACAACTATGCGTAATAGTGGCGCCGCTGATATTCACAGTAGAACTTGAATGCAGTGACCAGAGAACTCAGGGCCCTCTGAAAGCACAAGATGAGCGTCACCTCAGCCTTACCCTCATCCGATGGATCCAGGGTAGCCTCAGCATCCGATGACAAGACAGCGAGAATCTGGAATCGGACGCTGGGGAAGGACTCAAAGTCTTCGAAGGAGCGTCGGTTAAGTTAATCTCATTCTCATCTGATGTATTCCCAGCATCTTGTGATTGGACGGTACAGGTTTGGCAATGGTTAGCTTCGACGAATAAGCAGTCATGGCCATCGGAGAATGGATCCACATAGAGGTTGGATAGGACGGATTTGTTACTGATAGAAGTTGCTTCCATGGACACTACATTTCAGATGGCCACTATCTCGTCGTCAAATGCTGAGGCTAACCAGGTGAGAGTGAGACTAAGTTAACAGTGTCCTCGGAGGATCCTAAGCCCACGCACGGCCACATCCCAGGTTCGTACAGTCTTCTCATGGGATGTGAGACTACTTAGGATTCGTCAAATGAGAATGGGGCCGTGTGCCCTCAGAGAACGCTGAGTTTGTACCAATCGCCGACCGAGGTGTTGGTTCTCGGTTCCGATACTGTTGTACAGAACGAGAAGGCACAGGCGATGCACTTCGGGCCGAGAAGGAAGATGGTATAACTGTTCAGAGGCATGAAGATTGATGTTCTAAGGGAAGGGACCACTGAGGCAGTACGTGGAGAGAAGCGATGCTCCAGTTCAGAAAGTTACAAAGCGAAAGACGAAGGTTCAGCGAATTAAACACCGTCGTGCATGCATGCAGCCTTCTCTTGCTGGGCGTCAGTCCTCAAGTTGAGCTTGGAAGGGACAGGAAGGCATCGATGGTATCATAGGCAAGGACGGCCAACTTGGACAAAAACCCTGCGGAGGTTTGATATCAGTTCAAATTTAAGTTATACATTAATTATAGATTGTTCGTTTGTTTGTCTGCATTAAAAGTCAATAGCTTGTCGTTTGTTGAACCCCTACCTCTGCATGCCATGTGCCAACTACTTCGTCAGACTTGACTGACTGTTAGACTAAGCGATAGAACTCCCGGGATAGCCTCCAGCTCGAATGAAGTCGACTTGGAGTGCTTAACTGCGAACATTTACTTCTAGAACGTTCACCAGCCATGAGTTTGTCGCATGGTCCAATCGAAGAAACTTGATGGGCACTAACGAAGAATACATTTAACTGCATCTAACGACGCAAAGTGCATCTACCAAGTTGAGTACCGTTAACGATACCGGAGTGCTGTTTCACTCCTCCGTTACTTACCTCGTCATCAAAAGTTCACGAAACTTATCACTCGCAGCTTTAAACAAAGGACAACAACGTATTAAGGTCCATTGTACCGTGTATTACACAGTAGAACGTAGAGACAAGGATATGGGTTTAATACGATTTGAAAAAAAAGCCGGGGGGAAAGGTAAAAACGAGGGAAAGGGGATGGTAGCGATATACGAGACAACAAAAGGCATGCATAGCAGACGGAGGCTGCGAGTTCACAATGAGAAGCTAGAGCGACTGACGACATGTATCCAAGAGGAGCCCGAGGCCTACAACGTCATGAAAAGTCATTAGCCACAGGAATCGAGAGACATGACGAGAAACAAGACATACCTGAAGCGCAAAGTCCATCCTCCAGTGTCTAGATATGAAGACGGCGGGGAATAAGTACGAGAATATTAGGTAGAGGAGATGAACGTACCAAGTCAGGGATTCACGAGTCAAGACATCCAGCATCGTCGACAACCAACCGATAAATTACATTACCGAGCCAAGAAAGGGTCAAGACAAAGTCGAGGGAACAAACCGAAGCGTGCGGAATCATTGCAGATCTAGACGTCAAAGTTTGTCAGCTACCTGTACGAAAAAGAACAAGGAAAAGGGACAAACGTTCGCAGCGAATCGACTGTGGAAAACACGCGTTGGGAGCCAACGACCAATGAGATAGAAAGAGTCGAGGAGAAAAGACAGTGATGATGGAGGCGAAAACCGACAGAAAAAGACTTTGGGGCTTCAGGTTGCGGTTTCGGCGAACTTGAGGCGGTCAAAATCGGCATGGGGGTAGCGTTCCCTGACGAGATCGACGACGTAGTGAGCAGGAGTGCCAAACGTGACGTGGCTGGACGTTCCCCTGGGCATGCCGGAATGCAAGATCGCGACCATCTTGCCTTTGGCGTCGAAGATGCATGCGCCATGGTCAGAAAAGTTGCCGTGCTTTCTGTTAAAGTTGAGGACAGCGACCTCCCACGAATCGTGCTCGAACTCGTCACACGTGTAAGCTTCCAACTCGGAGAAGCGACCAAAGGTGAGATCGGTCGTCTGCCCATTCTTGGCCACGATGGAGCACGGGTTGCCTTGCTCGTCCCAGAAGTAGGGGTTCGCCAGGCCTGCAGCGTCGACGCAACCAGAAATCCTGAAGAAGTGATCTTTTGGGTACTCGAAGGATGGTGGGTTGGTGGCATTGGGGTAGAAAAACGAAACAATCTCGTCGCGGGTGAACTTGCCAGCTAAAGATTCATGTTTCCATTAGACGAAAATAGAAAAAGAAGAGAAATACAAGCAGAACACACCGAGATAGACATAGTTGCCTTTGAAGTTCTTCAGGAACTTGTCCTCAAGCGCGATGACGCCTATGTCTCGAGTATAGCGGCGGTTGTCGAGATCGTTAGCGATTTGGGGTGCCCAATCGAGCCACCCGACGATTCGCTGGTAGACATTAGAGTTGAGGAGCTTGGGGAAGTCGACCAGGATACCAACGTCCACCTTCGCCCTCTTCAAGTCCTCCTCCTTCCTCTCCAAGTCCAACTTGTCTTCCGCCGCCGCCTCCTCCTCGTCGGATGCCGGTTTCGCCGACAGTGCCGCAAGCTGCTCGGCGAAGAGTTTGGCGTCACCGAGCTTCGTAGCAATCAGCGCGCGCGTCTCGTTGACCACCTGCTCGAAACGACGACGACCACAGTTACGCGTGTACTGACGAGGTGCACCAGGGCGGCCACTGACTCGTAGTCGGCCGTGGTGTCCTTGGAGGTAACGGCTTGTTCGTAAGCGCCATAACCCTCGTGCTCTTGTTACCATGCCGGTCCTTGCCCTCGTGGAAGTATACGCCGAGGGAGCCCTGCACATCCTTGTCCGCCAACTCCTCCGCAGCGAGGGGGACGCCCAAGACGGCTGTCAGAGCTCGGCGGATCCAGTGGGTCGGGTCCGTGTCCCTGACGACGCGCATCATGGGAGGGGGACCGGCCAGGGACTCGACAGCACCTTCAATCCAGTGAACGGCTGCGTCCTGGATGCCGTGCTTAGCGAGAATGGCGAGGACGGGGGCGTTGGCGTCGCGGCAGGAGGTCTCCTTCGTGGTGTTAGGATGAACAGAGATCCACAGGACGATGTGTTTATCGAGGACATCCTTGCCGTTCTCATCGGGGGTGGAGAAGCGGACAGGCAGCATCGTAGAGACGTGAACACTACGGGTCTTATCCTTGAGCAGGGCGATGATCTCAGGAGCAACGGTCTCCTTCCAAAACTTGTTCTTGAGGACCGGGTGGACGACTCCGTGAGCGGTCTTCTCGGGGATGGCGGAGAACCTGTCTCGAGGGATGACGAAGGGACGCTGCAGGAGATCGGAACGGTGGAGGAGGGGAGGAGGGTCGTCCGAGATGCCAGTGTAGAAGTGGATACGCTCAAAGAGCGAGACTAGGTCAGGCTCGACGGCTGTGGTCTCGGAGAAGTGGGAGAGAAACGTAGCATCACTGGACATGGGCGAGGTTAGGGACGCAGGAGCGCTGAGGCACTGGAGCTAGAACACGGTGAGCCCTAAAGACGGAGTTCTTAAGTTATAGAGACGAAAAAAAAAAAACCTGGTCAGAAACCTCCGTGATGAAGTCTATAACCTGCTGAGCAGCGGCTAAGGGCGTGACGATAAGTGAGGGATAAACATGCGAAAGGACGAAGCTTTCAAAGTAAGGATGATAGTAGCAGCAAAGATTCGCAGATGGGAGAGATTCCGAACGCAAAGTCGTTTGTGGGATGAGGAGAGGGGGAGAGTCAGTCGTGAGAAAATGTTGAGTCCGTAGCTCAGTGCCTCGATCCGCTAGGCAGGTTACCAGCCTCGATCCGCGTCACCGAACCCCGGTACTGATTAACTTGCAGAAACTTTCCCAAGTTAGTATTACAATCCAGCCGGTCCCCGACGGTCATCTGAACGATCGTGAATGAGATATCTCCGTATCTGATGGCATCAGGTTAGGTGCGGTGCTGAGTCACTGGACTTCTCGAATTGGGGGCTGGGCCAGATGTCACGGGAGAGCTTCAGTCATCTAACTTAACACTGCCATTACTGACCTGGCTCAACGCGAAACAAGCTTTGACTGCTACCGTGGCAGGGACAGCCTCTGTTATCGTGCAGTGACGGTTATTACGCAATCTCTCGGTGTTGATATTATTCTGAATGGGGGAATTTACTCAGGTGTCAGATGTGCCTCCCGTCGTGCCCGTCGCCTCGGGACCATTTGAGACCCAGCGGTCAGGGTACCGAGATTGACACGGACACGAGGCAGGGCATCTTGGCTGCCTGGCAACACTCTTCCGTTTGTGACTGACCGTTGCATGTCTGTGCACCCGCCCTCATCTCGGGGTTTGACACTGCCCATTTGCTTGCGACTGGTAGTCGGCATGCCCGGTCCCTTATGTGCACTGCGTTGTCGATCATTCCTGCAATGACACGTGCAGGATATGGGTAGCCTATAAATGGTGGGCTTCTTTGGAGCTCCCTGGATCCATACCCATACTCACCTCGCACACTCACACTCATCCAGAAGCACAATGAAGCTCTTTCTCTATGCATACACTGGGCTGGCTGTTTTCAGTTCGGCATTCGCGGCTGTGGTACCGAAGACACACTTGGTACGCGAAGAGTCATGAAGTAGTAATCTGTACATTGCTGACTATCTCATTCTTTAGGTCAATGTCGGGCCTAACGGTCAACTTGTGTACGACCCCCCTTTATCGTGCGTGTCAAGTCATAGCTTTGCTACGGCAGCTAGCATGTTTTACTTTCCTGACGTCCCTCACCCACGGCAGTTCACGAACAAAGGGGATGTGGTGAAATTCATTTTCCATCCCAAGAACCATACAGGTACGGTTTGCGCCGTTTTCCCCAACCTGGATTTCGCCTGAAGAGTTTCGTTTGATCACGTAGTGACCGAATCCTCGTTCGACTCCCCATGTTCGAAACTCAGGGATTCGCATGGACGTAACATTGGGTTTGACTCAGGCTTCCAGCCCGTAGACCCCATCCATCCCGTGGAGAAGATCGTCTCGGTCCGTGTCTTGACGAAAGACCCGTTGTGGTTCTACTGCCGCCAGACCGGCCATTGCAGCAAAGGCATGGTGTTCGCGATCAACCCCCCCACGAAGGGAGCTCACACCTTCGGTGCGTTCAAGAAGAAGGCGCTTGCTACGGCTGGTGGTAAACGGGATGATGATGAGGATACCGATCTTGAACTACCTCATTTGGGCCCACACATTGACTAAATTTTGGCCACATCTTACGTTTCACATGTCCTTGATTCTAATGTACAGGAGAGCAGCACGGACGCATTTTTTGATGTATAATTTTGTTAATTTGACAATCTATGTCTCCGCTCGGGGTGTCAACGTCATCCCGAAGCGCTGTGAAGTTTTAAAAGGATGGTATTTGTATGATCTTTAGATCCCATTGCTCAGCCGGGCGGGAAATGAGGGTTGTGTCTGATTCTCATTTGGGTCCTTCGTTTGCATATATTGATGGTCCCAGTTCACCCACCGCCTGAGATCGCTCAGAATCACTGGTATTTGAGTCTTGGCTGTGTGTCAGCAAGCCTGGACCAGGCGATGCCTCACAGATGCGATACACTTAGCATATTCCAGCACGGCCCCACCTGGCCGACGCCAAGAGAATAACACTAGAGCCTGTAAAACGCCGGGTTGAAACACTGCTCCTGATCAAAGCGACTATTATCCTGTTAGGGTTTCGGATTGCCGAACTTCGGCGGTCGCCGCTCCACCTCTTGGTGTCGCTGCTTCTTTGAGAAATGGTTGGAAGCCCTCAGCTTGCCTTGCGAGAGCGACGAATGGCAAACTATGCGCGTGCTCTGAACAACCGTAAGCGTCAAAAGATCCACTGACAGCGGAATTACGTAAAATGTGTCACTTTTGTTGACGTTATCGCTGTGACGGTTCGAGTGTGAACGTCCAGAAAGGAAATCCGTTCTCTGCGTCGGACCCGGCCCGAATCAGGCTCCCGTCTAAGTATTCGATAATTGCGATTAAGAAATAGTTCGGATGCGGTACGTTGGAGCCTATCATCCGCCATTCGGACCAGGTATGATGAATTAACTCAACGGCACTTGGGGGATGGGTTCCTTTCCCTACACCGGACGTCCTTGCATGATCCACGAACCCTTGCTATTGGCATGCGCGACGGTGGGCTCTTCATTATCCAAGTCCAAGCACCCAGGGTGCGCAGCAACATCATGTGTTGGGACTCTTGAATCTACTCAAGAGGTGTGCTATTCTTGAGATAATTTCCACATTTTAACTTTGTTTCACGATTAACCCACGCACTAGGTGCTTCCATGGCGCATTCCGTTCATTACGTGAACCCATACAGTTTCACACACCGAGCAATGCGTGAACGAAACTGAATTCAACACAATCCGCCGTGCAACCGAGAGCCTGCTGTTGTACTGTTATAATATGGCCTGTTGGTTTCAGCTGGAATGACCTAGATTCCGTGGTCCACAGTGTTGTTCCTGTAGTGATCTTGCTGGTGCGTGATGCAAGCAAGACGCGGATGCGGGATTTCATACTTGGCCTCCGGCCGCTCATCGTTTGGCTGTTGAGCTCTTCACGGGTAAGGGGACTCGTAATGATGCCCGCTACACTCGATTTGCATGTTTCTTTTGCTCGAGCTCAATGCCAAAAATGGATTTGTATATACCGCGACACAGTAGCCTGTGATTAGGACGGAAAGTCTCGTTCTACGTTTAGAGCGAAGCAGTCGGTGATCCATTGGCGGAAACGTAGTCAAAGAAAGCGTGCGAGTATTGAACGCATTGTTCATATGTTTTCTCAAACCCCCTCTAGCGATATGGTCAGCCCATGACAGCACAGGGAAGTGAAACTCGGCATAAATATCTCGTACCATCCCGCCATAATATGGGTCTTGTATTGGTTTGTTATCGTCGAAGGAGCCGAATAGGGCAACTGGAGAGTGGGGGATCATCAGCTAATTCGTTCATCGGAAGGTCAAAAGTGTGCAACTTTTTGCCTTGCTCCCTTTGGGCGCTACCCGTCGCAGGTTTTCAAGGTTCTACAAAGGGGGCGTTGGCGATTACAAGTATCAACAAGTCCAGGAGCCTAGCTTAGCATTCCGGGGGTTGGACCAACCTGAGTATCAGAGGCCAGGATGTAATCGAATGTTTTGAAATCATTTTGTACGACCGCTCGGGCAAGGTGGTCAATAGGAACTCCATGCTGTCGGAATGGTACGTTACGAGTCGTTAGCCATTTGAAGGAAGGAAATTACGATTGTCCGTGCACCTTCTTACATGTCGCGACTGTTCTAGTCCATCAACTCTTAGATGATGTTGCAATAACAACCTAAAGAGATCCCGCCTACCTCTCATCTGGTTCTTCGCCTTCGTGGTAAGCTGCAGTCCCCTTAAATTCCGTGCGAGTCGGACCCAGAAATTCCCACAAGACGCACAACTATGCAACTCACAGCACTGTCAACTACGAGATTGAGACCCTTCTTCTTTGCTTCATGCTCCATTACCGCGTGCCCCTTAGCGAAGAAAGCAATCAAGAGTCGTGTCGATGAGTGTAGTGTCATCTCGGTGCCAGATCGGAGAGTCCTTGTACCATGGGACTCCGGCAGATGTTTCCCAGACAGACAATAAGGACGTGAAGAGGTCGTTCCGATCCGGCCATTTTATGTGTACTCTAATTCGACGTTAGTTACTGACTGCGATACTATCTAAACTGAGGAAGGTGAAGTGAGCGATGCCCAATCGGAAGCGTTTCTCCCAGGTGATGAGTGGCAGTGCGAGAAGAAAAACCCTCGTTTTTTGGTGGCCCAGATTCAGAGGCGTTTTGCACCGGAATCGTATCCGAGTTGTCCAATGACTCGATTGGCTCTTTTGCCCCCTCTCTCCGTCCATCTTACCTTCTAGTTCACCCAGCTTGTCTTTCCGTCGACAGGAGTCGATGGCCCGATCTGTATGACTGACTGAATGTGCTCGCTTGTCTGGCGCTCGGGTTAGAGGTGTCGGATTCTACTACCAATTCTGGTATCCCTGTTGCCTGTTGCCCCGCCTCCCTCGTGTTTAAGTGACACACCTTGGTTAAGTTCGTGCTGCTCTGTTGAAGGTTACCTGTTGCGCCCCCTGACTTGCTCAACAGCATGTGCGCATGTAGCACATGCCACCCTCTTTATGTTCCAGAGTGCTCAATTTCAAAAGCCCCCGTCGCTGAAATACCAGCGGCGAATTAGTGCTACTAATAGGGCATTCCGTGCTACTCTACTGGTTTTCCTGCCCGTCGCTGTCGTTCATAATTAAGTAAGCGAATCTGTAATCGTGGCAAGGGTTCGGATCGGAACCCACAAAAAAAAATATGTACAATACCCCAAACAGCGGCATACCAATACAAGACTGAAACGGGAGGCGCTCATAGAAATCGATACTTCAGGACGATGTGTTTCCCATGTCTTCCTCCAAATCTTCCTCCAATACCTCCTGCACTTCTAACCCAGAGGCGCGTGCTAGCTCAATGGCTTCCCTCTTGCGTTCTTCCACGTAGTCCCAGAGACACTTGAGTATATCCCTTTGGCCTAGGGTACACCATTCCCTTCAAGGTGCTTATCTGAGGGATAAAACATGGTACACACTCACCTTGGACATATTCTACGATCATATCGCGAACGTCCTGTCGTATGGATGGCTCTGTGATCTTCGAGATCGCTTCCGCGTCCGGTAGTGCTTCCATCTTCCGGCTGAGCATGTCTTCGAGCGCCTCGCATACTTCTAGGGTGACTTCCCACCCGCCTTCAAGTGAAGTCACCGAGGCATCGTCCTCCCCACTAAACAAAACCATTGTCTCAACTTCTTTCCATAGTTCGCTTATTGGGCCGCCTTGCACGCTGTGATCTATATCCCGGCTGATCTCGTGTCTCTTCTCGCTTCCGCCGAGCTTGAGGACGATGGTGTCTTCTGGATTCGACTTGATAACGAATCCGTAACCGAGTAGGAGTTCAGAATTTGGCTTTGGGCCGTAGTTATTAAATACTTCGCTTCTTGCTGGCGTAGTGGAGCGAAGTAACAAGGCTATATGAAGCGGGGATCGGTTGATGTTGCTTTGGCCGTTCGCGGTAGTTGGAGGCGAGGACGTGACTTGCCATGTCACAGGAAGTCCTCGTGTGTGATTGAGACAGTCTAGAACTGGAAGCAGGACAGGATACGAATCCTCCGAAGTCGCCTGAGCGGTCGGAGCTGGTGAAAGAAGTGAGGAAGGAAAAGCCCTTGAAGACAAGTAAGTAGCAGCAACCAAGTATCGATCCCTGTTTGAAGGGTTGCACGATGGGATCATCGATCGGATGTGATGGTGCTGCAATTCCTCACTCACCACGTAAACCCTTCGGCCCATATTTTATCGGCATCTGCCAGAATATCGCGCACTTCTCGCCATTCAGTTGACCATTCCTTGCGGCGATCTTCTGTCGCGCCGTACAGATTTGTCCCCTTGAGGAGCTCGAATTCTGGGGGTGTGAACTGTAACGGCGTCCGTAACTGGTCGGGATGCGGTAGTGTGTCGAGATAAGCTTGATGTCGGAAATGGGACGCTGTACGTGACCAACGTTCTAGCTCACTATACATCACGGGATGGTCTTTCAGCACCGCCGCGTGCGTATAGGGAGCTGGGGGATGTTTAAAAAGAAAGCAATCCTCACGAACTTGGAATTGGTTGACCTTCTGTCCGTCAATATAACCCAGTGCAGAACGATGTAGGCGCAAACTATCTGACGCTCGCTTAGGCTGTCGATTCTTCTTGATAACGACGCGTGCTGGCCGTTGGCGATGGGTGTTATTGGTGTCTTGTATGGCGACTTGGCAGCCTCCCATATACATGCTTTGAAGACGCCGATTCCAAGATCATACGTGATCGCAAGATCGAATGGGCATGATAGTACAGTGGTGTTTGTTGGTATCTCAGCAGTTGTCATCACAGAGGTGCCCCGGGTCCCTAATCGCAAACCGATCATGTAAACCACAGTTGTGAGTATGGACTCGCGAAGTGCTTAGTGTAGATATACGTACCGGGAACGAATGTAAGTGATGGATGAATGAATGCACCGTTAGATTTGGCCCAGCTCCTAAACGTTTTCCATATTTCCAGCTCTGAGGAAGTGTCTGGCATGGTGGCGGCCACAGTAATGCTGAAAGAGACGAGGACCCGATCATGATCAGCTGATTCACTTTACTCTTATTTGCATCCGGGACTCAATTTGGGGGTGCACGGGCTTGACCTCGAGGACGCGACTCAAAAAAGAAGATGCCTGATTGGAGGGTTTGACTTTAAGAGAAGCTCGATTCTCATATAGAAAAGCGGGTAGGAATTGGGTTCATGTACGATTTAGACTTGCGACTGCCTATTCCAGTTCATCGACAATTTCGTTATCAATCATCCCCGCTTGCTCACCATTTGCGCTTCAACTGTCCCGTAAATTATTTCCTTTGTGAACTTGGGCACCGATCGATATAGGTGCCGCTGGGGCCAACAGTTCGGCTCTCTGTATCAACCCTTCCCATTTCGGACAGAAGGGGAAACACGTATGCGTCGGATACACTTGGAGGACGGGACTCAGGGCTACAGCATATCTCGACAGGCGCCCCGTTAGTTATTGCGGTCATTAATTGCTAATATGATGTACGACATGTTATGGTTGGCGCGGATATAGCAGCAGACACATGCACCGCTCTCACTGAACATGAAAGCAGTCAGTAATTCCCAAATTTCCCATATGGATAGATGCGAAATACCGGATGGGTTATTACCCAGAGGAGACGTCATTTGTTGGTCCGGCACCCCAAGGTGTTTCTCTCAGACATGATATTTGCGGACGTTGCAATATTGGTATTCCCCTTTCCTCACAACGGTAACGCAAGAGATAAGGAACGTCATGAGACTGGTCAGGGGTCCGGCAGTCGGAGCGTGTCCGGAAGTGCTCTTTCCCATCGCATGACTGCGACCGCATATCTGGACCCGAGTGGTATGGCTGGAGGCACACTTCTGCCGAATCATGGCCGTCAGTACAAGTGAGGAACCTTTTCCCCAACCTATCAGCACGAACATCATTCGCACCTAATGTTCTCAACAGGGGAAGTGGAATTCCACTAGTGGACATCTTGAGGACTCGATTTTCTGGCGACAAGCGTAAGCGCCATGAAACAAGTTGCTGAGGAGAGCGATAACTCGGCATGATGTCAATTATTATGGACCATGCCAACAGAGACCTGGACCTACATCCGGCTATACTCCAGGAACCATCCCCTGCACCTTGGTGCCCGGGACCGTGTGTGGAAGATCACACATTGCTACTGCACGACACGGTCACTTCATTTTCCACATCACATCCATGCAATATTGCAAAAAAAATGAGGAAAAACCCGTATCACTTTGGACAGGGGACTATGAGAATGAGTCTTTGACAGCTTGAGCTGTGTGTAGACTCGCGTCTTAACGGGGTCGAACAAGAGACTTTCGCTTTTAAATCCTCCAGCTGCAACGAGCGACATCGCCAGTAAGAACTGAATCACGCGGCCAACTCCGGACACTCAAGGCATTGCATCCCAACTTGAAGATGCCAGGACCACTGTTCACCGAACTGTTTTACCGCATGTCCAATGACGCCAACATATTACAGCGATATGTTCTCGGTTACGAAATCGGTACAGCTGCACCTATCTATCTCATATACAATACTGCAGCCCGCAATTCGTCCCGAAGGATGATCGAGGACGCCCTGGAACGCATGGATGCAGATTACGAACTCGTTCATGAATTTTCTCAAAAGATCAGCAGGATTGAACGTACTCTACGACGACGACGCGCCATACTCCACAATTTCCTTGAACCCGTGGCTGCCCTTCCTATGGAAGTTTTGCAACGAATCTTCCTTCATGCCATTCAGCCAAAGGAATATGTAGGTGGGAAGCATCTTCCTTCTCCTATCACCCTCAGCCAAGTCTGCTCGACATGGAGGCGTGCGGCTCAATCGTATCCCCAATTATGGACTGTGGTGCGACTGGAGCTTTGTAATCATTATTCCTACGTACCATACGCCCGCTATTCTAAAGGTCTCCCTTTAGAGCTTCATGAGCCTCGGAAACATTCCAGGGTTTCAATGATGCGGGGGCTGGGAAGCGATGAAGTCCAAGGTCGGATAACCGCGCTATCTTTGCCACTAGATCGAGAAGATGATTGGGACGCAATCATTGTCGATGATTCCAGCGATTTCTGGGAAGAAAGGGGGGTGTTCAACTGCGAGTCCATTGAACGCCTAGCTTTGTTCGCAATTCGTGACGAGGAAGATGCCCATCTTTATACGGAAGCTTTGGCGCATCTTCCATCACTCCGTCACCTCTCCCTTGACAACACTTTCGTTCTATTGTCCACCACTCAGCTAGCAAACCTTGTCACTCTCACTGTCTCCAACGCTTATATTGGTAGCCCAGAGCTTGTTAAGTTCATCAACGCCTGCCAGAATATTCAGGAATTGACCCTGGACCGCATACACATCCTTTGGGACAAGGACGAGGCCATCACTCGACAGGGGTCAATCACATTCCTCCATACACTTTCTGTTGGCTATCTAAACCATTCTGCTGCAAGATTTCTTGCCTCTTACGAGATGCCTCAGCTCCATAATTTTG